TTATAGAAGTAGTTTAGTTCAAATCACTTGATCTTGAGTTAGTAAAGGTTAAAGCACATGCAGGTATAAAGTGGAATGAAATAGCAGATTGCACAGCGAAAGAGGGCACCTATCTCGACGATACATGGAAATGGCCAAGTAGTCTCTGCTCTTGATGGAGCTTCAAAATATTTTGGCAAGATAAAAATATTAAGTGCCCTCTTTGGAGTTTTATACTAAAAGTTAAAAGAAGGTTTGTGAAGAGCAAATGGTATTTGTCGAAAAGTTGCAAGCCTCTTCGAAAGACAGAATGTGAAAATAGGCTTTATGTTGGAAAAGATTAACGAAGCTTAGGGGCCAGAGGTGTAGATCACTAGCGATTAGTAACAAGCTTGTCAAGCGAATTAAAGGCCTTTTCTGAGTACTCCCAACACTGGATAAATTACATCAGCATAGCCCACATGTTTATCTATCGGCCAATTGTGTTCTATATAAGGAGAACAAAATAGAGGATCTGAACCATCTTTTTAGCTATGAAGCCTATGAGGATATTTGGTTAGAAATAGAAAAGCAAGCTTTAGCATTGGCATGAGCCACACTCGAAGAAGAGACAAGATTTGAGTATACCTTGAAAGATTTGATGAATGTAATATTTGGCAACTCACGAGAAGCACACTTGGAAAAAAGGAAGATGCTTATACAGAGTTTGGTCTGTCAAGGTGATTTCACGAAACTTCAAGAAATGAACAAGAAATCTAGCACAAGTCAACAATGCTACAAAGCACTTTTTGGAGAGAAAGATGTGAAAAATTCACAGCATGGGAAAAAGAAAATAGTATAGACAAGACAATTAAAAGAGAAAAAAGACCCAGAGAATCGTCCGAGATATTAGAAAAGAACTTACGAGCAGAAGACCCAGTGTTAGAAAACGGGCCAACAGAGGTTCAACTGGTAGAAAACCAATCAACAGAAAACTATTTGAGAAAAAAGAGGAAAAAAAGTTTAGAGGAATCAGGTGTAGTAGGGAAAAAAGAGAAGTGAAGATCATGTTTGGAAAACTTTAAAGAAAAGATAGTTAAGGTATATAAGTTGGTAAAAGAAACGATTTGGTTACAAATTTCGAACTCTTTTCTACCGAGTTGGTAGTCAAAGTAAAATTATTTTGTAGTAGTTGTTATGTTAAGTAAATATTTTTAGGTAGCTGAGTACCACACTATAACGAGTTTTTAAATATGGGTAGTACTACATGTAGAACCAGTTGGCAAACATCAGTGCGATAACCATATTTGGGCACTTTTAGCAGCCAGGTATTGGCCTAATATATAAGTTAGATAGTTAATTTTGTAAATTACAAATATTCTAATAAATTAGCGCGAAGTTATCAAAAGGAAAAAAAAAAAAGTTTTAATATTTTAAAAATTATTATTAAGTTTAAATATCTTGTATAATAGTAACTAAGTAAATTTTTATTATAAGATCTATGGTAACTCTCTCCTGTACACATAAGACAGGGAGAGTAAAATATTAAACAAACAAAATACCCAATATATCTAGGAGTAAAAACCCAAACAGTTCAACAATAACAAGGGCTAAAGCCCTTGTTCCAGCAAAGAGAAAGGCCAAAAAAGCTTTACTTCAAGAACAACCAAATAAAAAATACAAAATTATAGATTTTCTTAACAAAGAAATTATAGTTAAAGACTCTTCTGGTCTTCAACACACAGAACCTGAACCAAACATGAGTTGACTACTAGCAAGAAAAGTTGGGATGATATTGTATCTCAAGAAAACCCTTGGCTAAATTCGAACATGTTTTTACAAAAAATGGAACTGGGCAACAAAGCAATGCACATGTCTGAAAAAGTTCCAGAAAGTTCTGCATTATCAAGTCACGTGGAAACACTATCTAAAAGTTCTAAACCTCCTGTGAATCCATATGTACATGTTTTAACTAACGAACTAAGACAAGAAGCTTCTCAGGATAAAGCCCTACTTAAATAGTGGTCTAATCTCTTCCCAAAGCTAAAAAAAGGCCAATCTACCTTTTCAATATTCTCTCCAAGAGAACAAATTAAATCTAAGAACGATAATGCCCTGATTATCAATATTTCAAAAATTCATTGTTCTTTTAATAAAATAATGTTCTCACTTTTTGAAAATGTTAAAGACAAAGTCATTGCTGCTAAGCAACATCTTAAAAAAGGTGCTCACTCTCATTTAGAAATTATTTTCACAAATCAAAACCTATTCAAAGAATATGCTAGTAATGGAGTGATAATTTTAGATAAAACCTACTATAGCTATATCCCAACAGATGCTCACAAATCCTTCTTACTGGTCAAAATTAGAAATGTGCCACTAGGTGACAAAAACCAAATTTTTGACCTTATTCAAGAGGCTTTTGAAAACATAGATGATATCTTCTCTATCAAATCTCTTCTGATTGAAGGTACTCTTTATTTAACAGACCAATGGATTGTCATTTTTAAAAACACAGATAACCCAAACCTAGAAAGTAAAATCTCATGTTTTACCCAGGTTAGTGACAACAAGATCACTACAGAATAGAAATCAGCTCCAAAAATTTGCTTCTTCTGTGATCAAGAGGGAATGTGAACAACTCCAAGAATCACTTAGACTTTGGAATCATTATCGTAAATTTAGAGAAGAAGTTAGAAAAACAAGAGAGGAAAGATTAATAAGCAGCCTATCATGAAAGACTCCTGTATTATCTTTGCAGAAAGAACTAACAATAACTGAAACACAAAAGAAACTTCCAAAAGAAAACATTCCTGTTTCAAACTTGGAAGAAAACTCCAAGGAGAATGCTGAAAATTCAGCTAATCTTGATATAATAATGATATACACAGAAAAGGTAACTAAGAAGAATGATGAAAATGATGACAAGCTAGAATCCCTCTACATTCAAGAAGAGGTAGAAAATCAACTTTCGCTCAATAAAACTCCAAGAGATGAGCTAACAATGAAGGATCTAGCTCGAATCTTTGCTTTACAAAAGTCTGATACTAGTAAGAAAGAAAATACTCTATCTTATATAGATGATGAAGGCTTTATCACAGTATTTAATAAGAAGAAAAATAATAGAAAAATCACTAAAAGCAGGTTGAATCAGGATATTATAGAATCTACCTCTTACCAAAAGAGCAAAGGTGGGCACAGAGCCACCTCATAATAAACAAACCTCATCTTTTATTCTATGACTGAAAGCCCAAAAATTTTTATAGCTATACTAAATATAAAAGGGCTAAATAACTGTGAAAAACAACAAAAGACTTTAACATTAATCAAATCATATAAACTGAATATAATTGTAATTCAAGAAACAAATCTTAGTAACCAAAATACCCGCAACCTACTAAAACTACAATAGCCATTTGAATCAATTTGGACTGACAAAACTGCAATACTGGCTAGCAGAAGAGATCTAAAACTCCAAAACCTGCAAACCTCCCATGAAGAAAGGGTTATTATAGTTGACATCTCATATAAAAAGCATCTCTTCAAGATCACAAATGTCTATGCTTTACCGAACATGAAAGACAGGACAGCTTTCTTTGAAAATTGGATTCCTTCTTTTGACGAAGACAAGATAAACATTATTGCAGAAGATTTTAATACAAATATAGACCCAACCATAAACAGAATAAACCAAGCCAATGTACAAATAACCCTTCAACATTACAACTTAAAAGACTATTAAACAACTTCCTAGACTCTGCATCTCTTTTGAAGAAAAAACCTTTTCTTATATTCTATCAGAATACAAGAAATAACCAGTCTATGGCTACATGTCTAGACTATATTTTTATAAATGAGAACTATGACTTTTTAATCAAAAAAACTGAAACTCTATGGAAACTCAGATCACTTGCTAGTCAAATGTACCCTCATTCTAGAAAATAAAGCAAAAAAGGTATTCAGTTGAAGATTCGATAAAGACTCTTTCAGAAACAAATTATTGGAAAAAGAAGTTATTGAAAAAATTAAATCTGTCAACTCGGCATTAGACTAGAACTGGTACAAAGTTTTTATTTAATCAATTATAAGAGCCTTCAAAAAACCCAAAGCTCTTGAAAGTAAGATAATAACCTTGAATAAAAAAATAACCAAACTTAAAGACTCTTTAGCAGCAAACTCTGAACAAACAACTATGCAATCAAGAATAAATGATTTTAATATACAGACACAAGAGAAGCTTTCCCAACTAGCAGAGAGATAGCTAACTCGCTCAAAAGCTAATTGGGTCAAACAAGGAGAAAAATCTACTAGATACTTCTTTTCGTGTTTCGAAACCTAGAGCAGTAACTCTGCTTTAAAAGAAATTGAGATCCCGGGAGCTAATATACAAAATAAAGAAGATCAAACACTACAATACATAAAAGAAAAATATACTAAAATCTACAAAGATGAAGGTATAGACTCAGAAGCAGCTACTTCGATCATGAAAACACTTCCTATGATCTCGCAACAAGAAAACTCTGAACTTACACAAGCTATTTCAAAAGAGAAAATAATATCTGCAATTAGAAATCTTCCAAACAATAAATCCCCAGGCATTGATGGGTTAATATATGAATTCTACAAATTAACAGAGAAACACATAACTCCAATTCTAGAAATCATTTTTTACCAGGTCTTAAACTCTGGAAACTTACCAAATTCCTGGCACAAAAATCTAATTACTCTCATCCTGAAGAAATCCTTAGACTTAAGCAACATAAACAACTGGAAACCCATCTCTCTAGTAAACTGTGATGCCAAAATCTTCATGAAGATTATTGCATCTAGACTAAATAGAGTTTGCGGTACATTAATTCCATCACATCAACAAAGTTTCATCATGAAAAGATCAATCTCAGATGCTGTACTTGATGTTCTTACAACTATGAGAAACCAATTAGACATTTCAAAGCAACACTGGCTACTCCTAGTAGACCAACAAAAAGTTTTTGATCGAGTTAATCACAAATTCTTGCAAATAGTTCTTTCAAAGATGGGCTTTTGCATAAAATTCACAAATCTAATAAAAAACCTCTTTGCAAACCAGATAGCTTATATCTTTGAGAAGGGCTCTCTCTCAGAACCATTCAGAGTTGAAAGAGAAGTTCGACAAGAAAACCCTCTTTCTTCTTTATTATATGTCTTGGCTTTTGAGCTACTAATTCAATTGATAAATAGCAAGTTCTGGGGAATTCTAGTAAACAATCTCTTCTTTAAAACAGTGACCTATGCTGATAACCTAACTATAGGAATCGGCTCTCTTTTAGACGGAATAGAAGTTCAGAATTTATTTGACATATATGAAAAAGCCTCAAATACAAAAGTCAATAAACACAAAACCAAAGTGGTTCCTTTAACTGCACTGGCTAGGAGAGCGAATCTACTAAACATTGACCAATATGAGATTACAGAAGAAAATAACTCTATAACACTTCTAGACTATGAGGTTTATCCAAATGGCCTATACAGAAAAAATTTATAGACAAACATGATTAACAAACTCAAAGACATATTGAACAATCTAGCTCTTAGAAATCTATCTTTTAAAGAAAAAATTTTGGTTGCAAACTCTCTAGTTCTTTCTCAAATTTGGTATATAGCCTATATTCTACTTCCAAACAAAAAACAAATTGCAGAAACAAATGGTTTAATTACACTTTGGATAAAAGGCAATTCAATAATGCTTTCCAAATACTCCACTTATCAACAGTCTTATGAACAAGGAGGGCTACAAGCCTCCATTATAGGCAATTTGCTAGATGCAAGAGCTTTGATGGTCTGGCTCAAACTTCTTTCTGGAAATACATTCTGGGCAAAGGTCGAATAGACAAGAATTGCAGACATATTATATAGACAACAAACCATCTCAATCAGACAAGCTTTAACCAGCTCTCCAATATATAGTAAAGCCTGGCCCTCAGAATAGAAACCTTACTTTCTTGCTTGGAAGAAGGCAAATAATAAAGTTTTCTCTCATACAAACTGGCCTTGGAGTCTTTGAAAACCTCTCTCTAAGGGGAATTAAAGAAAATGAAATTATAGTTAAAAGGATAACCAAACTACTTAGAGAGAACCTAATATCTGGTAAAATTAATCAGTCACTGTTCTCAAACTCAGCACCGAACTGGATTCTTTTTAAAAGAGTTGATAACAAAAAAAGAGACATTTTTTAGTATCTCGCACATAGAGCTCTACTACTAGGTTATAAACTTCAACATATTTTTGCTCTGAAATCAGGCTTCTGCCTATGGTGTAAGAATGACAGACAAACAATTGAACACTTTGCAACAGATTGCAGAATTAGCAAGAAGATATGGACAGAAGCTTACAAACTGATCAATATAAGATGAAAACCAAGTATCTTATTCTTTTTGGAAGAAATTTTTACTGCAAAAACTTCGGTGAGTGAAACCACCTTAACACAGCAATATGAATATAATCACAATAGTGTTGGTACACAAATGCCAAATAGGGCAATGCAGATAATTTAAAAGCATCGATTTCCTCAATCATTAGTACTCGGATTTGAAAAGAAATTTGAGCTTTAAGTTTAAACTTCCATTTGGAATCTATAAATAAAAAAATTTATAAATATCTTAGTAATATTAATTAATATTCAATATATAAGAATTTAATAAAAAGTGCTACACTGCTCTACATGCTATTTAGGCAATCTGGGATAGTCAAAAAAAAATTTTTTTATTATATAAAAGACAGTTGTAGCTAGTAATAGTTATATTTTACAAATATATAATTATATATAAAATTTCTAAAATAATAAAACAAAATTGCTCAAAGCTCACAAAAAACTCTTTTCGACGATCACTTGAATTATTTTTCTGAAAAACATTTTACTACAAAAAGAGATCTTACAAGCCGGCACTTGATATACTAAACAATAAGTCAGCACCTATCGTTTAGAAGTAGTTCTTATATGCTACTTGCCGACAGGCTCACTCACTGCAAAGTCTCGGCATTTGTCATTTAGAGGTAGTTCTCATATGCTACCTGCCAACAAGCCCAGAGTTTATCACTCACCAAAAAAATATTAAGCAGGTGTTGGGCAGTGGGTTTTGACTATAGAAAAGTAAACTCACACTCTTTTAAATTGGTTTGAAGCTCAAGTGGTCTCTCTTTACCTCTTGTCATTTTTCTTATGGTTTTCAAAAATTTTTTATAAAAAGTGAGGATTTGGCTTATCCCCTCTAAAAGATTGGCATTGTTTACTTACCAAATTCGAATAGACTGGTGGATAGCAACCATGTATTTGGAGACAAATACATTGTATGGGCCCTGGAACGAGTCTTGGTTGAAAAAGGAATTTTTGGTGGCGGCACCAAGTGGCTTTAGACACGAGTACCTGAGTGACGGCACCTTTACGGAAATGTCGTGATCTTTGTCGTCATTGGCGCTATATATAGAGAGTCGAATCCTAGTACAGCAGCAGTACTTGGTTTGAGATACGGACTAGGTTATTAAAAAGGTCCGGAAATGGGTCAGAGGAAATTTTAAGGTTAAGTTTAGACTTACAACAGAGATATACAGATGTTGCATCTGGTATATAATTTTTAAATCACCTGGCATGGATTATAATAGTGTATCGGATCGCTTAATTTTTTCTTTTTTCTGCTTGTTTCATCTATTTTCATTTATATTAGAATCGGTTTAAGTTCCTCTTTCCTTTTTTTCTATTTGTTTCATTTTCTCTTTTGTTTTTGTTTTCTTTTTTAGAACAATTTCTATTTTTTTTCAGTTATGAGGAAGCTTTTAGAGAGTTTCTTTAAATATACCTTCCTTCATAATGTTGGTATATATGTTAGTCTTATATAGAAGTAGAAGGTAATATATATAATCTGCTGAGATTTAAGTGGATTGAGTTCAGGAAGATATTACCAAAATTTAAGGTAGGATAACTTGAAAGAAGGGATCAGCTCTTAAAAGAAGTCTTTCTTTTGTAAATTGGCATATATATTTGCACTACACAGAAGTAGAAGAAAATATATTCTGTCTAAACATTGGTGGAATAAGTCTAAAAGGAAGGTAAAATATAATCAGTTCGAATGTAGATAGCTGAGTACCAAGCTATAGCAGGTTTTTAAATACGGGTATTACTGTATGTAGAGCTTGTGGCAATATCAGTGTGATAACCATACTTGGGCACTTTTATAGCAGCCGAGTATTTGCCTAATCTGTAAATTAGATAGTTAATTTTAATTTTGTAAATTGCTAAAATTATAATAAATTAGTGCAAAGTTATTAAAGAAAAAAAAAAAAAAAAAAATTGCTAAAAAAAAACAAAAAAAAATAAATTTAAATTTAAATTTTTTAAAAACAAAAGTTTAAATTTTTATATTATATTATAAGACTTTTACTAAAACGCATCTATAGTGTTTTACACTATATAATCTGTTTTTCAAAAATGTACTAAGCAAATGGAATTGGGTTTTCTAAGTAAAAATATTCAAGACCTCAAAAACTTTACAAAAACTAAGATTAGGCCCTATCGGGCTCTTATATTAGCTCTATATTATATTATATAAAAAAAATAATAATTTTTAATTTTCTAACTCTAACTCTAAATTTTATTAAAAGCAATTTTTTTTTTTTTTTTAATTCAGTAGTCTTGCCAATACTGTTTATTAGATTAATGCTAAGGTATTTTGGTTACAATTGTCACAAATACATTTACAACTATCAAAT